TTATTATTATTATTATTTTTAAAACATTACACTCCCCCACTCTCTAGTCTAGTGGAAGAAAAAGAAATCAGTCTTAAAATCTAGGACAAAAATACATTAACATTGTGTAAATAAGTAAGTATTAACATTGTGGGGTAGATAGATGTACGTGGAATGATGGTGATAATGGTGGCATGCTTCTAGTTGGGGTCGTGGTGGTCTTTGTGGTTGTTGAGGTAGTGAACATGATGCTTAACCCTATCCGTACGCCCTGGGGTCATTTTGTACCCCCGGGGTCGTATTCTTCACATTTTAGAATACTTCTAATGTAGTACGAAGATCTCTTTGAAACTTTCAGTATTTCTCGAAAACTCATTTTGACAGACTGCTATGCAAAGCGAACGGATCGAATTAACGAGTAAATTTCCTCTTTGGAATGTGGTGGAACAGAGTTCCCCAGGTCGTATGGATACTATAGTAAAACATGACGTACGGATAGGGTATGGTTGTTGCGATGGTGTGCTGTAGGTAGTTTTGGTCTCACTGGTAGAGTGGTAGTTGCTGTTGTGGGTGCTAGGGCTGTGATAACTCAGATAATGGTGATTGTGGTGGTGGTGGTGGTGGTGGTAGTGTTATGTAAGAGAGAAAAAGCAGACTTGCAATAAGAAATTGGAACACAGTTTTTCAAAAAAGAAGAAAATTGTATATTTTATATAGTTTCATTATTAAGTATGATGAAAAAAACCCCAAACAAACAATGCATAAGCCTATAAATACATGTATAGCATTGAAATTCTGAATTGGTTATATGAGCATGGTTAAAAAAAAGCAACCCAACATAACTATTTCACTCGTAAATGCTAGTCATACAACTTGGGGTTGGGAGGGGGGGGGGGTGAAAATGATAAATGACAGAGTGGCACACGCCCTTTGAAACTTTCGTTTCCTTCCCCCAAATCGAGGCAGTTCAAGGTGTGTCGCATTCTTGTCTTCTTTATCCAGGCACTCGGTAATAAAAAAATCAGTTGAGTTAGCACCAAACAATTACTCTTCGGTGTAAAGGAGACCTGCAAAAGAAGAAAGAATTTAGAAAGGGGGGAACATCAAAGCATAATGTTATTATAATAAGTTATATGTATACTATATTATATATAAATACGCACGCACATAGATTATTTGTATATATACAATACAAACAATATGTAAAAATGAAAAAAACCCACCAACAACGCTGAACAAACAACCCCAAACAAACAACTAGACAAGACTCATTTTGAATTGAGACATTTTCAGTTTGCGAGTTCCCCAAATAAACCTCTGGATCTTCTAGGAGAGTAGGCTGTTGAGCGAAACAAACATTACCAGCGAGAGTGTGACTCCTTCCATGCCATGCACTACATGAACCAATAGCCTTACACTCAGATACAATACTGGACAGAGCTATTTTGTTGCAAATAGAAAAGTAAAACGAAACAAAACAAAATAAATAAGGGGAAAACTACGTTTTTCAGACCAAAAAAATAAATAAATTGGTACATGTTTTACGGCGCTCGCAACTGCATACGGTCATATGAGCGCGCGGGACACATTATTAAAGCAACTTTTGAATTTTGCCCGGGTGTCGGCCGAAGCGTACCCTTATCGATTTTGGACCATCAAGGAATCTTTAACGTGCCCAACTTGTAAACGGGACCTCCGAGATTTTTCGCCTTTGTCCGAGAAGGCTAGGTGTAGATCTTTCCTACCTTAAGATTATGGGTGTGGCTGAAAGACATCAGTAAGAAAGAGCCAAGGAGTAACAGTAGAAAGGCAGCAGAAAGAGTCAGGAGCCCAGAGGAGGGGGCAAAGGATGTGAGGGGGGGGGGGGCAGAAAGTGGAGACGAAAGCAGACGACAGAACATTGCCAGAGCAGGAAAAGAGGTGAAACGAGAGAATTTTAGAGAAGAAAAATTTCCGTCGCTATCCGGATTCGAACCTGGGACCTATTAAATGAGAGGTGAACACCTTAACCTCTAGACTCTAGGCCACGAGAGCCCCCCAAAACTGCGCTTTGTTTCTGTTAACCGCCCTATACGGCAGGGAAGGAGGTTTCTAGCTGTTCTGTCGCACACAGACAAACCCCTTCTTCTTATTCCCAGCTGTTTCGAGTTTTCTTATAATATTTATTGAGCATTGGGAATGGCATTCTCTTCAGAGTATGTGACCAACCGTTGATGTATGGTGCAAAGTAGTTTAGATATTTATAAGAAAACAGAAAATCGTTGTTTTCTCGAAACTGCAGTGAATGAGAAAAAGGCGTTTTGTCAGTGTACGGCAGTGTTTATATCTTCTGTAAGTGTAAGATAAAGGAACATCCTTCCTTACAATACATTCTGCTTCGACTTGACGGGCTATATTATGAGTCGCGCAAGAACAGTTTTAATCGCCTTCGAGGGGTAAATCCACAAATAAAATATTTTGAAAAATGAGTGTAGCCTTTGGAAATTTAGTATACATGTAAACCACGGTACATCAAAATATGGTATAAGTAGAAAAACAACTTTGCTCTGCTTTTAAGTGCCTCCCCTCCCAATCATCATCATCATCATCAACAACAACAACAACAACAACAACAACAACAACAACAACAACAACAACAACAGCAATAACAACAATAAAACAACAACAACAGCAATAACAACAATAAAACAACAACAACAGCAACAACAACAACAAAACAATAACAACAAAAGCAGCAACAACAGCAACAACAACAACAAAACAATAACAACAACAGCAGCAACAACAACAAAACACTAACAACAACAACAACAACATAAAAGCAGAGTATAATTAAATTGTACTGGCTCGGGGTTCTGTTCAACCCTTCGCCCCCTTCCCCCCCCTTCCTTTTTCACCCCTTTTCACACGACAACCAAGCGTGCACTAGCAATTATTAATTAGGCCTACCTGCAATGCTGGCGGTCATGAAGCAGGCGACGTTGCCGGCGATCATGGCGCGGATGACAATCCTGGACATGTCACCCTTCCGGTTGGGCGCCATAGCTCCCAGGGCTCCCAGCTGTACGCCCATGGAGGCCAGGTTGGAGAAGCCGCACAGGGCGTAGGTGGCGATGACCACTGACCGGTACTGGGGGAGGGGATAGACAGTTTGTGAAACATTCTTGTTGTAGACGTTACTGGTTACTGTTTATTGTGTTGTTATAATTGGTACTTCTGGCGATGACCACTGACCGGTACGGGG